GTGGAAGGGATTGTCACTGTCGAATTGGCCTTCTCACCCACACTATATGCTGTTCCAAGTCCTCTATACAGAGCATGTTACCATAGTCTCTCGAGACTGAAGGATGCCTAATCTGTTACTTCTATTTAGAACCAGTGGTTCCCAACATTGGGTCCACAGATGATCTTGTACTACAACTCCCAGAAATCTTGGCCAACACAGCTAGCAGTGAAGGCTTCTGGGAGTTTTAGTCCAAGAACATCAGAAGACTCAAGGTTGGGAACCATTAGTTTAAACAAAGAAGTCAAGGACTAATGGAAAGGATTATGTAAAGAGCAGCTTGTTTGCTTTCCCATGAGTTATTTTCCATTTCCTGTTGTCAGATCCTGATAAGGATGTGTGGCTCCCCCAAAAGTAGTAAATCACTTTCCTACCAGTGCGACATTTTTACCAAATCCAGTCTCATGGTACTGAAATGACGAGAAGCAGTTAGCAGTTCAATTATAATTGAAGCAGAACATTATGGTGCACTTGGAGGACCCTTGCTTCTGAAGAACATAGACAGTTGTGAGATTACTATTGCAGAGGTTTCTTTTTCCTGTTAGAATGCAGACATTTCTCCAAAATAAAATATGATTGCCCTTAATATAAAATGATAGGTGACAGGAAGTTGTTTTATACTAATGGATGACTACTTGAGTACATGTACCCCACAATTTATATCAGATTGGGCACTGATGAATTTGAATTCAAATTTGATGACTACACAATGCAAAGCTCAATGCAGGGAATCCCATTGTTAAATCATCTTTTTTGAGCAGCCAGTTAAAAAAAAAAAACAGCCTGCAGGAGAGGTTTACATTTGTTCCAGTTGGTTTACATCACCTTTGTCCACCTTCTGCCCAGTGTGCTAACCTAGTCTGATGCAAAGGAGCATTTCAACGGGGTGTCAGTTCTCCGTAGCCGAGTGCCCCTTGTCTCCAAACCATTTCTAAAACAAAACAAAACGAAAACTCAGCACTGGAAGAGGCTTCCAGTAAGAAACTTAGTAGAATAATAAAAAAAAGAAAGATAGAGAAGTGAAAGTTGTCAATTAGCACTTGTTAGCTTATGCTGTTCTCTGTCCCTGACAACTCCTGCAAATCTGGATGGCTACACCAATATTATCTGGAGAGATTCAGTTTCTACCAGTCACAGGGAAACAACACATATTTTCCTCACTGTATAGTCACACCCTGTTTGCTCATCTAGTCCAGTGTTGTGAAAATTGTCCAGCAAAAGCTCCCTGAGATGCCATGGGTTGAATGTTGGACCTTTTGCATGCAAATCCTATGCTGTTCTGTCAAGCTGCAGCCCTCCCTCCGACAGCAAGCATACGTGAGAGATGGTTCTGGTTTTATTTGGCTTTTCTACAGAAATTCTGAAATAGGAACAAGCTTAAAATCCTCCTTGCCCAACATTTTTCTGGAGTTCTGTATAGAAAAGGGAAGCGGAGCTTACCAGTTTTACACAATTTTTCTGATGAATATGCAAAGAACTGATGTCAGAGAGCAGAGTAGTTGAATTTGAAAGAACCTCTCTGCTCTAAGATTCTTGTGACTTTTTTTGTACAAATATTTTGAAGGGAAACTAAGGAAAGTAAATTGATCTATAGCATGCATTTATTCTGTGGAGGGGGAAAAAGCAAGCTCTGAGAGGCAAACCTTAGACATTGACAACACAAAAATTGTGCTGTTTATGGCAACGAAAAGTAACCCACACAAGATGACTTCTTCATCAGCTGATGAACCAAGATAAATGTTTCCCGACTGGTTTTTACTGTAGTTTTGAAAGGAAAATATTCACAATACAGTATACACCATGGACATCCATATCTTCCTTTAAAGGTAAAATCAGACATGATATTTGTCAGGTGGTAAATATCTAGCCTGAGGAGATTGGATTTAGGAACATAGTATTTTGCTATGAGAGGATAAGGAAAAGGTAAAGCTTCCCCTTGACAAATTGTCCAGTTGTGTCTGACTCTAGGGGGCAGTGCTCATCCCCGTTTCCAAGCCGTAGAGCCAGCATTTTATCCATAGTTTCTGTGGTCACGTGGCCAGCGTGACTAGACATGGAAAGCTGTTACCTTCCCACCGTGGTGGTTTCTATTTATCTACTCGCAGTTTACATGCTTTCAAACTGCTAGGTTCTAATTATTCATTCTATCATTCCTTTATTCATTTATTTGTTCATTTCTTTATTCATTCATTTATTTAATTCAAGCATGTAATATTAAAAATTCCTTGGCTGATATGAAATTTAATGGGATATAAACATTTCCCTAAACCATCAGCTTTGTTTATTCGTTTTAAGTTAAAATTCTCAACTGACACAAATTATTTTCTCTGTAGTCGTTACCACCAGGGTATATGCAAGGAACACTTGAGATGGCAAATAAAGAGGAAAACAGAGAAAAGAACAGATATCCCAATATACTACCATGTAAGTACTACTTTTGTATTATGAATTGTATGTATTTGTAGGTACAATATTCTGCACTGTCTTAGTGTTTCTATGTAACTATAATAATCTGTTGAAACAAAAACAACCAGGATTTTGAGAACCTTAAAAACTAAGAATTACAGTGTGGTATAAAATTTTATGGAGCAGACCATACTTCATTAGTTGGTAAAAGCAACTAATTCATAAATAGAGTGAAATTGTAAACTTTAGGGTCAAGCATCCATTAGGGTCAAGCATCCGTAAGCATTAAAACTTTGAAGTTGACACGGAAACAGATGGGCAGCCAATGCAATGCGGCCAGCGTTGGAGAGATGTGTTGATATTTTCTCACTCCTGTAAGGAGCCTGGCCGCCGCATTCTGCACCACCACTAATGACTATACTTCATTAGTTGCTAAAAGCAACTAATTCATAAATAGAGTGAAATTGTAAACTTTAGGGTCAAGCATCCATTAAATTCAAGAGGTATAAAGACTTGACAATAATATTTGAAGTATAATTATAGCAAGGGTAAGCATACAGTACTGACTATTCAGAGTTAGAATAAAGGGCAATAATGCGGAGTTAAAAACAAAATATATATTTTAACTTAGTGATATATTTCAATTCAGCATGTTTGTCTTAGCAATTGGTGCCATATATCATGTAAGCAGATGGACAGGAGAATAAATCCTTGAATTTATAGCTGATAAATGCTTTGTCCCATAGTTGCATGCCTTAGTGACAGTCAGAGCAGAGGTGGCATTGGAGTTTGGCCTCATCTCCAAAGCTTCTGTCTCTGTTAGTTGTTTTTGGTGAGTAGGCCTGTTACCCAGGACCTCTGAAAGAGATACAAGAATGGGATGTAGATCACTGATGAGATCAGTGAGATCAGTGATGAGAACTTGGGATGGTTTAGCTGGGAGATGTAAGAGACAACAACAGTAATATCAGGCATACCATCAGGCATTATTCATCTGCTAACTTCCAACATGATACATGCACCAGCTGTCAGCCTGTCATGTGACTGCCTACACAGGACCAACAGACCACTCATTACGTAAATGACAGCCATTGCACTAGAAAAGCTAGCGTTCAGAAACAACATGAGAATGTTTCAGTCTTCCAAGACATTCTTTGGGTCAACAATTTTTTGCAAAGAAATTTGAAAGGACAGGGTGGTGTGAAATTGATGAAGTATAATTCACTAGAAAATGTGGTGTTGTTTAATTCTTCCCTTCAGTACTACTGCACTTTATTTAAAAGTTGCATCTTATTTTATTCCTAAGTACACTTATTGTGGACCTAGTACAGTGATAGAAGAAAGCTAAAATACAGTCTCATCTAACAGTATTTGTTAACAAACATTAAGAAATAACAATTTAGTGACATTTTATCTAAACGATGCCCAGTCAACTGAAGCTGGGACTAAACTGACATGGTATATATAGCTCTGCTAAGTTCAGTTGTAGCATTCTAGATCAATGGAAGTTCCTGGATCATATTGAGAGACAAATACATATAGATCATAGTAATTCAGAAAGGGAGGTGAATAGAACATGAATAACCAAGCCTGGGCTTCGTGTCTCCAGAAAAAAGTGCCACTTGAGCATAGATGAAGTTGTTAAGAGGCACACCTCGGCCTCTGCTGCTATGTGTGTATCAAGGAGCAGGGGTTAATACTGGAGTACCTCAAAACTGGACACCTGCATTTTCAGGAGCTCAGTGCCATCCAAAATAGGCTGAAGAGCAGCTCCACATTAATCAGAATCTGCAAGTAAGAAAACATCTTTTAGCTTGTACTGTATTAAAAATATGTATCTGCTAATGGTAGATAACACTTCATTCATCTGATAAAATGGATTCCTGTCAATTAAAGATTATGCCACAGTAATTCTATTAGGCTAAGCTTCCACAAGAGTCTTTTTAAATAATTCATATAGTGTAGACCTCTCAGTTTTTGAATTTGAGCTGGCAATGGCTACCATTAGTTTTGTTTTCTTGTTATATTTTATGTTCCTTCTGCTGCTGTTTTATATTTTATTTTGTATTTAGATTACTTCTGTTGATTTATTGTGAGATGTCCAGAGAACTTTGCTATCAGGCAACATTCAAATATATATATTTCTCTGCTTCCCCATAACAGAAACTCTCTAGCTCTCTAGGCAGTTCACAAAACAAAGCTCAAAATCATAAAATAGAAGAACAAAAAAGTTTATCAACTTTAGAAAGCTGAACAAACCCCAAACATCAGCAAGAACCAGTAGAACTACTGAGATTCAAAAATCGTTAACTGTTTTTTTCTAATAACATTTCACATATTACTGTTCCTACATGATGCTTGCAGGGAGGAAAATCACATTATCTGAGCCATATGTGCATACTTGATATTATTCCATAATGAAACTGTAATGTTTCTACACTAATATATGTTGTTGTTATTAACCTGAACTACACATTCAAGTTTGTGCTATTTTTAGAGGGAAATTATTGTCAAAATCCTGTTGCATAGTGTAGTAGTCAGTCAATGTGGATGGGTGAGTCACTTCCTCCATAGCATAGTAATTTGCAGTTCGACTAAGGCTATTTGAAACAATGGAACTTGCATGAGTTGACTCACCAAATGCCCATTGATTCAATGTGCCTACTCTAGAGCAACATATGATAGGAATAGGAATTTGACCAATGTCTAATTATCAACAAAGTATTAATATTGGCCATTAAAATTTCTAATTATGTATGTTCCTTTGATGATCAACAGATGACCATTCCAGAGTAATTTTAACACAGATTGATGGAGTTCCATGTTCAGACTACATTAACGCTTCATACATAGATGTAAGTGAATGTCTTTACTTTTGTAATTGTTAATTTTTTTAAGCGTGCATTGGTTGAAATCCTGTTGTTTTCACCTAATGTTGTTTTGCCTGCCTACGTTTGCCAGGTGTGACATCCATGCAGCAGGGCTGCACAATTTGGTTGTGCAGTCAGTCACGTGGTTCCCATTGCAACTGTTGTGTGATATATATGCAGAAGTTGTTCATGAATAGCACTTCTGCTGTGCCATATTTTTCCCTACCACTGTTGCATCTTCACACTGAATATGTGAGCTCCAAGATAATATTCCAGCAAGTGTGTATTATACAGTGTATTTTGTTATGTGTTTCCTGTATAAAAAAGAAACTATATAGATCTTTTCTCCCCCAGGGCTACAAGGAAAAGAATAAATTTATAGCAGCTCAAGGTATTTTGCAGTTTCATTGATTTTATTAACCTCTCTTTTTAAAAGTTTTGTTCTGTGCACCTGTATTTACAAAACAATTTCTGAAATGTATGCTCCACAAATACATGTGCCTCTTATCCTGAGACATATGAATACTTTTTTAACAAGGACAGTTCTTACAGATTTACTGACTTATTTGCTGGCTGGCTTACAGTGTAATCCTAACTCGAAGATATGCTGCTTGCTTGGAATGGACAAGAGCTGCTTGGGTCAGCACAACTGCTTTTTTACAGTCCGAGTGCCTTGTGCTGACAACTCAAAAGATCTGCTGACAGAAGGCTCTGCTGGTACAGCTGATCCGATGGCTAAGATCAGCCAGCAGAAAAGCCACAAAAGTGACAGAGAAGGCATGGGGTTAGGGAACATCCAAGTTATTTCAATCCAAACCTCCTGCAGTCAGAGACAGAGACACTGTTCCAACACAGGGATAGGGCTTTAAAAGATCTCTAGCCTCTCTAGACTGGGAGGGGTTTGGATTAAGCACAGCTTCAGTAGACTCACTGTCTGCTCAGCTAGCACTTGGCCATCTTGGCTCATTAGAACTTTACCCTTGTAGTTGCATATTCTGTGCTCAGCAGTAGGAACTATGGTGTTAGCAGTCGGCAAGAGCCCATTTGCAACTCCCCAAAAAAACAATATTTGCAAGAACTAAAAATCTTATTTGCTTTTATTTGGCATCCTTGCCCAAACCCTTCTCTGTTTTTCCTTATAATTTAAAGCTATATCACAATGATAAGGAAACACAGTCTCTACTTCTGACCCATATAAATCTGGATTGGAATTCGTCATTACCTGCAGTAGTACACTTGAATGACTGAGGGGTGCAGTTTTCTTCCTGTACTCTACTTACTTCAACACCAGTAGTACATAGAACAGGATGATTGTGCCATCATCTCTTGGATGAACTAATCCTTTGTTGCAAAATACTTCTCTTTTTAAATATTGGTGAAGAAATATAGCTGTGCTTGAAAGTGGAAACCAATAATAAGGAACAAAGAGTGCATAACTTATGGACTTTTCATCAGTCCATTTCCAATAAAATGAAAAGACTCCCCTTATTTTTGTTTGTTTGTTTAAGAACCTTCTCAATCAAATACTTCATAACTTGAGAAACTGACAGTTTCTGAGGTTATTCAGGATTAGGAACATTCATGCATTACTACTGCATCTTTGGAATACTTTCATTGGATTTGTTTAACTGGTGCCTATGTCATTATCATTAACATCAGGGATGGGCATCCTGTCATTCTCCAAAGTTTGCTGAAGCACAATTCTCATTGGTTCTAGCCAAAAGAGACAGTGGTGAAGGATGATGGGAGTTTTTTGTTCAACAACATCTGGAGTATCTTTCCACTCCTAATTTAGACAATAAATGGAGATTATCAAATTCTGTCAACCTTTTGTTTTAATATCTGTGTATTCCTGCTTTGAGTACGACTTTAATAATTATTGCTATTCATTGTTTGGTTTTGGGTTTCTCTTGTGGGACTCTTCAAATGTTACAAGCTGCTTTGAGAATTATTAATGGGAAGGACGTAGGATTTAGTTTAAATAAATGAAATGACATTGAAGCTTGGTAAAGTTGAGATTGAAGGTGGAGAGTAACGCTTTTTAAAAAAAACAGCTATGGTTTCAGCTGTGTTCTGTTTAGATTGTGATTAGCTGTATTATTTGTATAGGTCCTAAACAAGACACAGTAAATGATTTCTGGAGGATGATATGGGAACAGAAGTCTGCTACTATTGTTATGTTAACAAATGTTAAGGAGCGAAAAGAGGTAAGAATAAGAAAAGAGGTGTAGTCACAATAAAGTTATATCCCCTCATCCTGTTAGTAACCATCTCACAATCCGCATGACTATTTGTAAAAAAAAACCCACTTCCTATTCCAGGTCTCTAATAAGAATTTACTTTCTCACACAAGCACTGTAGCAGGGCAACTACACTAAAAAATGTTTCACTTCACAGAAAGTCCCTGGTGACTCATTCAGGAAATTAGTTTCTTGTGTGTCAGTTTTTTGAGCCACATTTTTTGTCTAAGGACAATTTGGTTTTTCGTCCATGGTATATTATTAGCTATGAATTAGTTTTAAACTGATATAATTTTTCTCACATTGCTTGCAAAAGTTATTATTTTTTTTCTGTTTTGGTTCTCCCTAAATAGGTAGGTGTTTGTGTGTATGCATTTATAGAGTGTTAGCAATTTATATTTTAGAATAACAATTAATATGTTGTCACAAACTACAGTTATTTGATGGTATATCTCCCTTCTAATTCACTGGCATTTTTCCATTGCCATATTATATTGTGACACCATTTATAGGACACATTGAGGCCTCGCCTTCCATTCCAACATGTCTCATTGGTTCCTAGAAAAAAAGCTGATTAAAATACAAGATGAAAAATTCCAGACCACCTGTAACAGTAAGAGTGAAAGGTGTTGTGTGCCCCTTTGTATATATAATTTATGCGTAAACATGAACATGGTTTGTTCAGCCTTGATAAATAAAATATCCTAACTAAGAAATAACTTAGAAATAAGAAATAAAATTACTAAGAAGCTTTTAACCTGCACAGATGTGACTAGTTTTTCTATAATTCTCTCTGTATGCAGTCTTGAATTTTAAAAGGAGACGTTGCCACCTCTCATCTCCCACTATTCATGGCACATCTAACTTTAATCTGAAATCATCTGAGATCACCTATCCTGTTAGCAATGCAAAAAATAAATAAATTGGCTTTTTTAAAGGTCACAGAGAAATGTGGAGAGGGATGAAGTCATTCCTCAGTTTGCCTTTGGTCTTGGGATATCCCAGAACTATTTCGAATTTTAGTGTGCATATCACTAGAGTTGTGGTTAATTGTGGCGGAAATCTTGTTGTGCAGAGTCACTTTGCATGCACAATGGGAATGAAGTCATCAGCAGTGGCAAATCATCACAGATTAAAGGCTTCTTTTGCTGATTTTGGGGTGCACACAACTTGTACACAGTGTAACAAACTGTGCAACCTGGAATTGTCAAAGGAAGCCTTTCATCAGTGGCACCATCATTCCCATTGTACACATGGAGCTGTAAAGCTGGATTTTAGCTCCTAAATAATGACAGAATAACTGTATAAATGTGTTGGGTGTCAGTTCTAGGAGGCCATACAACACAGCTTGACCTGGTGCATTTTTGTGGTATTATTTTTATAGGACAAATGTTTCCAGTACTGGCCTGATCAAGGATGCTGGACGTATGGAAATATTCGTGTTTCTGTAGAGGACTGTATCGTTCTAGTGGATTATACCATTCGCAAGTTCTGCATTCAGTCAGTAAGTGATACTGCTTTTTAAAACATTCCTGGGTTTCGAATGTGTATTATTTGGAATTGCATTGTTTTGCAAAATCATTCCAATGACAATTCATGTTTGCCATATTGTTTTGATCTTATAAATACTGTCATCCAAGATGGCCACTAAGATTTCATTTGGAACGCCATGCTGTTTCAGTTGCCGTGTTGTAATGAAACATTTCAGCCTCAGTTTGTTCCAATTTCTCTGAATTTCCCCCCTTAGGAATTGATTATTGTCAGTGTGAGCACTGAATTCTTCTTCATCTATCTTGGCTCCTGGAAGCTGGAGGAGAGTTACAGATATTTATAAAGTTCAGTCTAAAGCATTACCCATAAGGCATTTTGGTTAAAAACTGAGCAAAATACATGAAAGTTGCATGTTGGCACTATAAGCAAGATTGTGTTCAGTTTTTCTTTTTAAGTTAAGATTTCATAATGTCTATATTTTAAGAATGTCTTAAATCACATCTTTATCCTAGCATAGGCATCCTTCAGTCTCAAGAGACTATGGTAACATGCTCTGAATCGAGGAGTGTCCTCTCCAGAGCATGAAGCCCAGGTAAGGTAATATGGAGGATAGGCTGTTACCCAAGCAGCAGATCCCCCCTCTCCACATTGCTGAAATGATCCAATGGAAAGGCAAGAGCCAATACAACTGGTTCCAGCAATGTCACAGGAGTTGGCAGAACGACACATGCTGCCTTCGGGACTCCAGCTCCGGATTTTGCCTCGAGGTTAACTCCTGAAGCCTTTTCCATGAATGGATATAGCCACAAGGCAGTGGAGGTTTGAAATCGGAGTTTTCCTTCTCCTAGATGGGCTGCCTTCCATGGCTGACGAGCCCCACCTACCCGGCCTGCTCTTTAATAGTGCAAAAGTATGATCTGATACTTAAAACTTTCCTGACTCCCCGGCTTATGCAAATCTAATTGGCTTTCCTATTTACCATATTAAGGCCAGATACAAAATTTTCCTAGGGAAAAGGAAATCCCAGGAAAAAAGAAAACTCAGCATGGCATCCATGCAAACAGACCTGGCCTTCGCCCTCAGCCCAGCTTCCTAGGGAAAAGGGTCCTGGGTCCTGGGAAACGCTCTTATAAAGCAGGAAGTCCCACCCCTAGGCCCCACCCCCAGGCCATGTGCTCAGGAGACAAAAGGAAATCCCAGGAAAAAAAAACTCAGCATGGCATCCATGCAAACAGACCTGGCCTTCGCCCTCAGCCCAGCTTCCTAGGGAAAAGGGTCCTGGGTCCTGGGAAACGCTCTTATAATCTTTATCTCTTACATCTTTATCCAAAAGTGCATTTAAGGAGAGGGTATACATATGGAAATTTGAAAATAGTGTAATATTAAAACATAGCACAATAAAATAGAGAGGAATTGAATTATGAAACTAGTGTATTACAGTGATAGAGTGTTAGCCCACCTTGGCTATGGAAATGGGAAACCATTCATTGAAATCTCACGTACTTCAGAAGCCCTACAAAGGCTGCTGTAAGTCAGAAGCAACTTGACAAGAAGAACTATATTTCCAGCTGTTTCAGTTGTTGTTATTGTTGTTACATTCTGTGAAGTCGCTTATGGGGAACCTCTGAATGCAATAAGTTTAAGCTGCAAAGCAGAAAGAATATGGACCTCCCTCAGAATTCAGGAGGACATTTCGCAGAAAATGACCTCTTTGTAGTACATTTGTAATGCACTTCTCGTGCAAAAGACACTCAGAGAATATTACATATTGCAGAGGTCAAGGTGCAAAAGTAAGAGTGGACGACTTAGCTTGCAATTTCCCTACTCTGGGGCAAATAAATGAATTTATACATGCATAAATTATTTTCTTTAAATATTCTTTTTGAATATTCTGCTACTGTTGATTTGTATTGTGATGAGGTAGCACTGATCATATTAAATTCATTATATTTGATTCTGTTTGATTTCTATCCATAATATAAATGGTCCTATTTATAGTCTGTTTCTGGATCTCCATAGCAGATTTCTGATGGCTGCAAAGCTCCACGGCTAGTAACTCAGCTTCATTTCACCAGCTGGCCTGATTTTGGAGTGCCTTTCACACCCATTGGAATGCTCAAGTTCCTAAAGAAAGTTAAGTCATTGAATCCTACACATGCTGGACCAATTGTGGTTCACTGCAGGTAAGCATATATACATGTGCAGGCATGCACATGCTCCTCGGCGTCAAGTGGGCTACAATTAAAAGTGTCCTATTGTTAGGCTGAGGTATTTTCATCCCTTGGGTTCTGAGAAATAAAACTAGCAAAAATAGAGAGTTCTCATCAGAAGCAGCGCCAGGAAACTAGCATTTTTCTTGAGCTGTATTACAAAGAAAAAATACCAACCCTACATCTGTCGTTGCAAGAAGCAACAATTTCACATTATGCAAAACACTTGAACCAAGAGTCTGTCCTGCCTTTTTTTCACACTACATTGCAGTGTGCTTATTGATTATGGGTTAATCTATTAAAACTATGTCTACGTTGGCTTGGGCATGTTGTGAGAATGGCTGATGGTCAAATTCCAAAAGATCTCCTGTATGGAGATTTAGTGCAGGGAAACAGCTTCAGAGAGAGACCACAGCTGCGATACAAGGATATCTGCAAGCGGGATCTGAAGGCCTTAGGAATGGACCTCAACAGATGGGAAACCCTGACATCTGAGCATTCAGCCTGGAGGCAGGCAGTGCATCACGGCCTTTCCCATTTTGAAGAGACCCTTGTCCAGCAGGCCGAGGTAAAGAGGCAGTCATGAAAGCAACAGAATCAGGGAGCTGGACAGGGGACATTGTACTTGTCTAGTGTGGAAGGGATTGTCACTCTCAAATTGGCCTTCTCAGCCACACTAGATGCTGTTCCATGTCCTCCATACAGAGCCCGTTACCATAGTCTCTCGAGACTGAAGGATGCCTAATCTGAAATCTGAATCTATTAAAGGGTCAAATTTACATCACTTTAAATAAAATTACTGGTTTAACACTTTGATATTAGAGGAAAAGATTATTTGATTCTATTTAATCATCTGTTCTGGTATAGATTATCGTATTACTTAAACTTCCTTATTTTAGGCCAGAATCCTACTGGCTATTGTGATCACGGTATCACATTCAATTCTTTGATGATATTAAGTGTTCTTTGCCTCTGGCAATGTGGCTGGTCTTGTATTAGCTGTGAAACAGGCCGTGCAACCACTTTCAGAGAGGACAGCCAATGGGAGAGGGAAAAGTGATGCACAATCACCTTTTCTTGCATTGATTGTTTTTAGATGGGATCCTATCCTTAGGGAAGCAATGTTATGAAGAAGAAGCAAAATCTGTATGTTGCAAAACCAAATGTTACGGCGTCTTTAGTCAAACACTTATGCAGATTGGATTATACAAACATGGATTATCATCCTAGTGTGGTGGAGAGGAGGAAGAGAAGTCACAAATTTTACTTTGGCACTAGCAGGCCCTCCATTTCTCCCCAAAAGCTCAATTAAAAAACCGGAGTAAGGCTTGTTACCTTTAGATGCTTCTGATCCTTGTACCTTTAGATCTGTTTGAACTATCCACGAAGCAGGGGGAGGCCAGCTGAGTCAGATTTTTTTAAAAAGCTGGTGAGAAATAAATTCTGAAGTCATGCTTATTTTAAAAAATAATAATTTGTACACCAACATGAAAAAAAAAATAAGATGTATTCTTACTTTTACATAGGAACTATACAGAATTTAGTTCCATAAGTTAGTTTGGTACAAACTGTATAAATGAGAAATAATTAAATCATATATTATGGTTTAGAAAAATGAGTAACGACATCACAACAGTAACAGAAACCTTCCCCAGCCACTCACCCAGCTGGTAAAATACAAGACAAAATGTTGTCCTTTGCACAGGATGCCATGCCCTTTTCCTCTAAAAATAAGGCTGGAAATCGTTTGCTGTAATAATCTAATCAGCCATCAATACATACAGTGAGTTTGCTCCCTCTAGTGGTTATTGATGCATTACTAATATGAAACACTACAATAGCACCATCTACAGTCATGGCCAAAAATATTGGCAGCCTTGCAATTCTGTCAGAAAATGCAATCCTGGCACACACACAAAAACAGAGAAGAAAAGTCAAATCTGATAGAATCCCACACAGAAACCCAAAAATGCACTGGCCAAAATTATTGGCACCCTTAACTTAATATTTGGTAGCACCCCCTTTGGAAAACATAACTGAAATCAATCGCTTCTTGTAACCATGAATGAGTTTCTTACACCTCTCTACTGTAATGTTGGACCACTCTTCTTTTGCAAACTGCTCCAGGACCTTCAGATTTGAAGGATGCCTTCTCTCAACTGCTGTTTTGAGATCTCTCCACAGGTGTTCTATGGGATTCAGATCTGGACTCATTGCTGGCCATTTCAGAACTCTCCAGCGCTTTGTTTGTAACCATTTCTGAGTGCTTTTTGAAGCGTGTTTCGGATGATTGTTCTGCTGGGAGACCCATGGCCTCTGGTGGAGTTTTCTGACACTGGCCACTACGTTGCGCCCCAAAATTCTTTGGTAATCATCAGATTTCATGACACCATTCACACAGTCAAGGCATCCAGAGCCAGAAGCAGCAAAGCAACCCCAAAACATTTCAGTGCCTCATTTCTTTTTCTGTAAATAGTGCCATGATGTCCTTGACCAAAAAGCTCTACTTTTGTCTCATCTGTACACAGTATGTTCTCCCAGAAGGATTGTGGTTTTGTCACAAAAGTTTTGGCATACTCCAGTCTTGCTTTTTTAGGCCTTTGTGTCAGCAGTGGTGTCCTCCTGGGTCTCCTACCATAGCGACTTTTTTCATTCAGATGGCGACGGAAAGTACGAGCTGACACTGTTGTACTCTGTGTCTCCAGATCAGCTTGAATTTGTTTGGAACTTAATCTGGGTTCAGTATCTACCATTCGAACAATCCTTCATTGTAATTTTTCAGTAATTTTGCTCTTCCATCCACGTCCAGGGAGGTTAGCTGCAGTGCCATGGGCTGTAAACCTCTTGATGATATTGCGCACAGTGGACACAGGAACATTAAGATCTCTGGAGATGGACTTGTAGCCTTGAGATTGTCAATGTTTTTCCACAACTTTTTCTCTCAAATCCACAGACACTTCATTCTTTTCTCCATGTTCATTGTCTCACACAACACAAAGGTTGAGTCAACTTTTCTCCATCTTAACTGGTTGCATGTGTGGTTACTACACATCTCTTCTTGTGACAGGCATGTCTAAATACAAATTGAAGGAGCATCACATGCTTGCAAAGGAATTATTTCTTACTATTTAGATAGCGTGCCAATAATTTTGGCCAGTGCGTTTTTGGGTTTCTGTGAGGGATTGTATCAGATTTGTCTTTTCTTCCCTTTTTTGTGTGTGTTGTTCCAATGCAAACTAAAGAAATTAACACATTTGAAATGTGGAAATGTTGGAAATGAGTACCAACACATTTGCAACTGCAACAGTTTTCTGAGAGAAGGGTTGCATTTTCTATCAGAATTGCAAAGGTGCCAATATTTTTGGCCATGACTGTAGGTATCTACACTGGGTTTGGAGAAAAGCATCCAAACGATGTAGGGAGGGGATATTTGTGTGCTTCTAGATCAGTTGCATGGCTGGAAAGAAGTCTCAGTTATCCTCAGTTTGACTTGCACATCTCTACAAATCACTGAAGTTTGCTTCTGCATTTTGGGTTAGAAAGTGGATAGATTTGTTGATTGGAACCTATTTGACTTTGAAGAGGGTTATGCCTCTATTATTTGGGCAGACTTTGCTATTCGGGGGGATGTCTATTGGGCTTATTCTTGGTGTGAAAAATGAACCCAATTATCTCTTAAAATGGGTTTTTTCTTTTATGTAAGTCTAAAGTTGGAATCAGACATTGGTTCTATTCAGCATTTGAAGCAATTCAAGAAACAAAATTAAAAAATGACAGTCATCCCTCTCATTATTTTTATTCCTTACCTTCTGCTGAAATGTAAATTATTAGCCTCTTTCTGAAATCAGTTGCAGAATAAATTAAGCAGTGGAAATATGCCAATTACTTGAGTCTACAGTAACTGATAGGGACATTTGTTCTGGTTTTCCATCTCACAGTAAATGGAATGGAGGAAATAATGCCAGTGACATTAAACTTCGTAGAAACTGTTGGGTAGGTCCTGTATATATCCTTATATTGCTTGCAATCCACTTAAGAAGAACACGGAAAGTTATAAATATTGGGAGTGAGAGTTCTTCAGAAAAGAGGGCTGTAAATCCAGATTAGCTATTGCCACCTGTCTTGCCTCAGCCTGTGTCTTCCTCTTCCTTTTTAACCAAGTGCCGGTGTGGGACGGACAGGCACCTTCATAGTAATAGACGCAATGATTGACATGATGCACACTGAACAAAAGGTTGATGTTTTCGATTTTGTGGCAAGAATTCGTAATCAACGCCCACAAATGGTTCAGACTGATGTAAGTATATTTTAAAAGCGATGTCTCTGGCCAGCATTGGTAATATTTTCGCCTTAATGTATATGTAAGGGTGGAGATTTTGTAGTTGTCAGAGTTTAGTCGGGGGGGGGGACAAGGCAGGATGTTGTGAGGGTGGGAATTGTATTATGGGAATGCACCTCTTTGCTCTCCCGACAGGTAACTGCCGTATTGCAACCATATATGGCTGGTGTATTTTAGTTTGTTCAGGACTAACTTTATTTGTCATCAGTGACATTTTCACTTAATTAAATCTAGTAAAGCACACAACAATATCACTGTTGCTAAGGAGAACAATTATACCATGCCCAACCAATCCAAGCAGTGTATTTAAGAAAACAACAAGAACAACCACAAAAATACAATATATTTCAATGTATCCTTCATTGAATGGGTTTGCTCCCAAAACTGAGTGTAAAATTATCAGTACTTATTGCTTTTTTCTTTTTCAGAAGAGCAAAGTAGATAAGGTGGGTAGCATAGGGCCCGCTTAGATGTAGTCCAGTATTAGATCGCTGTAGGGCCAACTAGTCTATTACTAACTGACATCTGACTTCAGTTTTGAGATTTTTCTGTTGTATACCTGACATGTTCTCCAGTTTCTTTGCAGACAATGCTCTTTTTGATAAGAAATCAATTTATTACACTTGATTTTTACCATTACAATTGTTGAAGAAAAAATAATTTAGCAGATGTGATAAAATATCGCAAAGAACTGTCATCTCATTGCTTCATTTAGCTCTGAATATAAACCATGGTTTATCACTATAGGAATAGGCTAAATGCGCCTTCCTCCTCTCTTTAGTGCAGCCTCAAGTCCAAATTGGAAGTATTTGCTTTTGCTTTTAACTACAGAGTTGAAATCAGAAGCATTCCAGTGAAATGTGAACAACTTCTGTCAATCTTAACCATGAGGATTAGTTTAACAAAACAAGTCGCCTTTGAAAAGTAATCTATGAAGTGGGCTGAAAACAGTTTGGATATAATGCTAAACCATGCATAAGTAAAAATTGAAATTAGACTTTCTGACCTTCTTGTAAGACAAGCAGTGGGGAGCATTTTAGCACGTGGCTTATCTAGGCTTTCCGTGTCTAGTTGCACTGGCCGCGTGACCACGGAGACTGTCTTTGGACAAACGCTGCCTCTACGGCTTGGAAATGAAGATGAGCACTGCTCCCTAGAGTCTGACACAACTGGACTAAATGTCAAGGGGAACCTTTAACCTTATCTAGGCTTATTCCTATACTGATGAAACACAATGTTGAAATCTGATTGTGAAGTTTTGTGTGCACAGTGCAAAGCTGTGGAAGCAGTACTGAAAATTGCAGCAGGGTAGAATGCCATTCAGAAGCGGAATTGCACAATTAATAGCACAGCATTGGCTGTGCTTCAAAATGCCTCACTATGCTTCCCAAGAGAACCAGCCTATGTAGCCGTGTGCAAACTCCATGATCCCAGGGTACCCCTAGAAGAAGGAACTGGTAAACCACTTCTGAGTACTCTCTACCTAGAAAACTCTGAAAACCTTGGAAAGGGAGCCAGAAATCAGAACTGACTTGATGGCACTTTGTTGTTGTTATCATTATTATAACTGTTAGGTGTAATGGTCTGTTTTTATAGAAGAAAAGGCAGGAGGGAAAGTGTATGTCCGTGTGGCTCATCTACACTTACTTGTTCATATTACAGGAAATGGCAGTTTGAAGTATAGTGTATATATCACTTATATGCATCTCATCTATTTCTTTCAAAGGAAACATATTTTTCTGATCATAAAATTGTGCATTTGCCTGTAAAAAAAAAAGAGGTTATTCAGTTTAAAAAACAGAAATATCAGCTATGATTATTGAATTTTTTTTATTAAAATATTTCAATTTTTGGTTTACAAAATGTTTCACTTCTTTACAGATGCAGTATTCCTTCATATATCAAGCCTTACTTGAGTACTACCTCTACGGTGACACAGAACTAGATGTGTCCTCTTTAGAAAAGCACTTGCAGCCATCACAAAATGCAACACCAAATCTCGTCAAACTAGGGCTAGAAGAAGAATTTAAAGTGAGTGTTACATATTTCCCTCTGAAGATTTCAAGTTGGCATTAAAATAGAGATATGAGCATTTATTTTAATCTGCTTTTTAAAAGTTAATGCTCTTTTCTTGGTTTCTATTTTGATCTAAAAATGATTTTATTTGGTTATTGGTAACATCAGTTATGTTTTCGAAACATAAAAGTATTTGGAACACAGTGGCCGAAATCCAATATTAAGCTGAAATGAGAGTAGACCCATTGAATCTTTGGAAATCTAGTGAGCCAACTTCTGCATAAGTTCCACTGATTCAATTGGACCACTCTAGTTGTGACTTGCTACTGATTTTAACCGGTGAAATCTATTTTAAATCTAATTCAGGTTGTGTTTTCTAACTGACAGTGTCTCAGATAGTCATACATATTGAGTGCTGTTGAATGCAAAAATGACCAAAATAAAACAAAAGAACAAAATTCATTTTCCTCTCTACTTACCAATATGAAAGATAGTTTATTATCTTTTATTTTTACAACATTTTGTAGAAATCTTATGGTCAAAATCCAGTTGTACAGTTCCACCTATCTAACAGGAATTGTATCATTGTCAGTGGCAGATGAAAGTCTCTGATTAAAGACATCCTTTTTTAATTTCAGTGAACACACAGGTTTCACACAATGAAATGAAATCATATGTACACCAGAACTGAAAAAAGAGGTTGTTAGTCTGTAGCAGTGGGGTGCTGAAAATGACATCGTTCACATTGTGGAGGCAGAACCCATCAAATAGGATTTTGACCTACATATTCTAAGTTTGAAAATATCTCTTTTGATCAGTGTGGTAGATTATACAGGACAAAATTTAGTAGTCTTTGCTCTTTATGGGTGTCTCTACTTGTCTGTGGAAAACATAGTAATAATTGGGTCCTATATAATGGAGATTTCCTTTATTTAAGATGCAGCTGTAGTGGAGTATAAGAAATAATGTGTGAAAGTAGAATTCTGTCATTTATGATCAAACTTGTCAACAAGAAATACTTTAGTAAACAGACTGTAATTATAATAGCTATTTTAGTTCTAATACAGTAACCCACAATTTCATAGTCTAATTTTCAACATTTACCTTTTTTCCTATAGAAATTAACAAATGTTCGAATAATGAAAGAAAACATGAGAACTGGTAACCTACCAGCGAATATGAAGAAAGCCAGAGTAATCCAAATAATCCCATGTAAGATGCTAATGTCCATCATTATAGAAACAGCGTAATAATTGTGTTAATCTAGATTGTACAATATTAGACAGCATGCAACAGTACAGTAATGTCATATATTTAACAGCAGATGGCACTGCTAGACCAAAATACAATAAATTACAGTAAGTTTGTACTCTTGATTTAGTTAAAGGCCATAGGTCATAGCCTGTGCCATATTATTGATTGTGAAATTCTTAGTATTTTAACAAATCTAATATGTGCTGGGTTGTTTTTTTTATTTATTTTAGATGACTTTAACAGAGTGATTCTTTCAATGAAAAGAGGTCAAGAGTACACAGATTATATCAATGCTTCCTTCATAGATGTAAGTACTTTTATGTCTGTACCATTGATTTTTTTTTTTCAATGATCAACTTTGTTTAGATCTAGGCTAGGAAGCACGTTGTTGTATGTGAAATTATCATTGCCAAATGAGCTATAACAAAGCGTAACTCGAGAATTTTTTAAAAAATCAACTCCTTATCACACAAAAACCGTTTTATACTTGAATGGTAACAGAGGGAAGCTGTTAACTCATGCTTTCAGTATTAGCTTCAGTGTGTACAAGTTCCTTTCCCCCCCTCCTTTTTGAACAATAGCACTGACTGGATAGCTCAGTGAGGTAAGTTTCTGGCTGGGAAGTCAGAGGATGGAGTTCAGTTCTCCACTGTGCCTCCTGCAAGTAGATCCAGTCTGTGTGGCCTTGGGCAACAGTCCCAAGCCCCCCCCCCGCTGGAAAAATGGAATGGTAAACTACTTCTGCGTTTTCTCTACCTGGAAAATCCTGAAAAGGGTTGCCACAAGTCAAAATTAACTTGATAGCACATTGTTATTCAAAAATACCAGACAAAATTATAAAAACATTGACTGGTATTACACAATAGATACAAGTTTTAACAAAAAAAAAAACACACCAAGAATTTGTTAAATATCAGCACAGTATGTATGCTCTTCTTCTTCTTCTTCTTCTTCTTCTTCTTCTTCTTCTTCTTCTTCTTCTTCTTCTTCTTCTTCTTCTTCTTATTATTATTATTATTATTATTATTATTATTATTATCATTATTATTATCATCATCATCATCATCATCATCATCAGTAGTAGTAGTAAAGTGAACATAGTCACAAAGATCATTTGCTTTTGGAACTCCTTCAAATAAATATGAGGAAAAAATTATTAGCAATCCGTGGTTCATGTACAAAATCTTAAATAAGGGTAGGTAATACCTGTATTGAACTACTAAAATCTCAAAAACAGACAAGTTTTTGGCATATTAAGATGTTCTCCTGTTTTCTTTAAATCAAATACACTTTGCCAAAAGAATATATATGGCTTTATAGATTCAAAATGGGGCTTCATCTTGATAACTGTAATCTCACCTTTAGCAATGGATTTCAGAACTGCCAAACAATGATGTTTCTTTTTCTTCCACAGGGCTACCGCCAAAAGGATTATTTTATTGCAACTCAAGGACCACTTCCTCATACTGTAGAAGATTTTTGGAGAATGGTGTGGGAATGGAAATGCCACACAATTGTTATGCTTACTGAAGTTCTGGAAAGGGAGCAGGTATGACTATTTTTGTCCAATGTTATCTCAATGTTACATTATTGATACTTGTAAAATAGGATGGAGGAAGGAAAAAAAATGTATTCAAACCCACTAAAAAGGGATTGATACAATGGTCCACAAAAAAGCTATGATGCCCAAGCAAATTCTGGATTATGCAAAGCAAAAGCTACTTTTCTACACTCCCCTTGCAAATGATGCCCCATTGGCTTAGTAAATTTGCTCTGTTTTAACAAATTAACAGGTACATTAATAATGTATAGGACAATGCTGGCTGCAGTTCCATGGTTTTTTGGCACACACTGTCCAGTTTATGTATATTTGGTTTGCCAAGGTTCAGACAAGCCTAGCCTAGCTTAATCATCCTCACTACTGAACATTCAGAAGCAGATGTCACAGTCCAGAGAAAGATGTCACAGTATAGTGCTACACCTAATCAAGCCCCAAGAAATCAATGGGAACTGAGTATGCTCAATTGAGTGCTCAGATGTCAACGAGGCTTAATAATGCTTACCTAGCTTTCTCTCAACTGTGCTAAATGTCTGAAACTGCATCATGGCAAGAAGTGGATATACAGTGGTGCCTCGACTTACGAACATCCCGACATATGATCATTTTGAGTTACGACCAGCTCCGGCCGCAAAATTTTGCTTCGACTTGCGACCAGAGCTTCACATTACGATAAAAAAAAAAAACAGGGAAAAAAGGCGGAGAATTCAAATTGCTAACCATTGGTGGCGAAGAGGCTACTTCTTTGTAGCTCTTTTGCCCCAGCAGTTAGAGAGTGTGCGATCGGAGGAGGCTTCTGACAGCCTGGTAAGGTAAAGTGTTGCATTCTGCTTTTTAAAAACTGTTCTGGGTGGGTTTTGCAGCGTGGTTTTGGGCTGGGAGGTTATGTTTCTGTGCTGTGATGGGTCTTGCAGGGTTTGGTTTTTTGGGTTTTTTTTCACATTTGCGTCTTGCATGGTTTGTTTGGTTTTTGGGACATCCCCCCCATTTCTGATGGGTCCTGCAGGGTTTGTTTGTTTTTTGCTTTGCTTTTTTTGCATTTCCGAACAGTCTTGCAGCATCTGTTTGCTTTTTGCTTTGCTTCTTTTGCGTTTCCAAAGGATCTTGCAGTGTCTGTTTTTTGCTTTGTGTGTGGGTTTAGTTTTTTTTTGCATTTCCAAAGGGTCTTGCAGTGTCGGTTTACTTTTTGCTTTGCTTTTTTTGCATTTCCGAAGAGTCTTGCATGGTTTGTTTGCTTTTTTCCCCTTTGGCCAGAATGGATTAATCGTGTTTCCAATGGGTCTTGCAGTGGTTTTTGTGTGTGTGTGTTTTGGTGATATTTTTCTTCGGCCAGAATGGATTAATTTCATTTCAGTGCATTGCTATGGGAAATGGTACTTTGACGTACGACCATTTTGAGTTACGACCAGCGTTCCGGAACCAATTAAGTTCGTAAGTCAAGGCATCACTGTATTTGGCATAGGATCAGGCTGGAGTTGGCATATAATGCACGTAAAATGAGCATTATTTGATGCATTGAAGGTTCTGTATTGCTTTGCCACTTTCAAAATACATTGGTTTTTTATTTTGTTTCCAAAGTACACTAATCTTGCACACCAAGCATACATCACCTTTTATATCAGAAAATAGACATTAAATTACCTAGCATTTCCGGATACATTTTTCTTTTTGTCTGAATCTGGTAAGTTAAATGTTTATTAAACATTATAAATATTCTATAGGTTCATCTAGGGGAAAAAGACTGATGAAAGAATAATAGGTTTCCAGAACCATTGCTATAGCTACACATTTAAGTATCAGCAAGAGAGCATTATTTATTACTTTTTCTCAATAATACAGGAAAAATGCTTTCAGTATTGGCCATCAGAGGGTTCTGTTACTTATGGAGAGATTACCATCGAGATAAAAAGTGACTTGCTTGCTGATGCCATAAGTGTACGGGACTTTTTGATTACACACAAACAGGTATCATTGATAACTTTTAGTTGTTTTGGGGTGTTTTGTTTGTCTTTGTTTTTGTTTTTCATCAACCAAGTTTCCTAAACCTCAGGTTTTCCTAAAATTCATTTTAACTCTCATCCAGAAAAATGAAACATTTTAGTACTTTGTAGGAAGTCTCACAGGACTAGTCCTACAAAGTAAGCATTTTATGACATTGTCATCTGAAGAATTACTATGTGGTAGGGCAGCTTGTGCATGCTTAAGTGACCGTATCGAGGAAGCACAAAATAAAGATACATGGGATGACACATATGGAAGGACCTAGTGCAGATATAATGTACAGTTCATCCAAATACATAACTTGGGAATGTACAAGCCAATGGAGGATGCAAACAAAGCAAGAGTATTACAGTCCTTTCAGTTGCGCCTCACAGAAAGTATTCTTTAGACATAATTCATTAAACAGTGATGTATGGCTTGGTTACAGAGCCTAACTTGGTTACAGTGTTATTAGATGAACCATATTTCCACATTGGATAAAATATGGTGGAAGAACAATTCTTTCCATCAGCTTAAAACTGGTAGAAAGTCTTCTGGCAGCATCTGACAGAAAAAAAAACCCATACCACCCTACTCCCCAAGTTGTTACTTCTGCACTAGCATACTAAAGAAGAAAGCTAGAAGACAGTGTTGCATATGTTCGGAATGTGCTTGTAAGGCCTATCAAAATGATACATTTGGTTGTCTGCACGGTGCCTAGCACAATGAATGGCCCTTCATTGGGGGACATTTGTCCTGGCAACATTATTTTTTGTTGGGAGAAGACTGTAGCACATGGCCAATTCATGCAAATCTGTATTTTCTGCTCTGGTGCTTGTGTTGAATGAAATCTTCTTGCTTCTACACACAAAAACTTTTGCTGTGGACAAGGGGCATTTTCAGACACTGAAAAAATATTGTGGGGTAAGAAATACCCGAGAACTTACTCAGTGTAAGTTAAAAAAAATATCTGGATCCGTCTCTTAGCCTGGATTCTAGGTTTCAATGGTGACCAGGAGCCCTTTTACACAATTAAAATTAGTGCACCAGCTACACCTGTTCCTGGAGAGGTCTGATTTGACCATGGTGACACATGCCTTAGTTACATGCTCACTGGATTTCTGTAACATGCTCTGCATGGGGCTTCTCCTGGAATTTGTTCAGAAACGTCAGAGAGCCCAAAATGCAGCGGCCCAATGGCCAACTGGTGCTGGCCACAGGGATCATATAACCCCCTATTACAGCAGCTCCACTGGCTGCCAATCCATGTCTGGGCACACTTCAAAGTGTTGGTTCTAACCTATACAGCCCTAAATGGCTTGGGCCCAAGCTATCTCAAGGACTGTCCTCCCCTTTATAAGATTTTGGAACTCCCTCTCACAGGAGGCCAAGCTGGCCCCATCTTTGCTGTCCTTCTGCAAGCAAACAAAGACCTTTCTCTTCAGGCAGGTTTTCCCTGAGTGACTGGCCGCCCAAGTGGGGTTTTTGATGGATTGTTGTGTCTTACTGCTTTGAATATGATTTAGGTGTTGTTGCTGTTTATTTTGGTATTTGTTTGATCTTTTCTAGTATTTGTATACTTATTAATTTTAGCTTTAAATATTGTCTTTTAATTATGTAAGTTTTGGGTCCTTCTTAAGGTAAAAATATTTTAAATACATAAATCTGGATGAAGGTCAAATGTAATTCAGTAGTTTAGAAGCCTTGAATTTTTTAAAAAGGTATTCATATCAATTGACAATCGTTTTGAATTATATTAAACACATAGTTAATCTGTGTGACCACAAACAAAAAAAGGCCAATAGATAACAAGGCTGTATGATTAGATTCTAGAAACTATTTCATTTCATTCTTAACTTTCGTTTTCTTCTTGTGGATTTCTTGGTTTTGAATGACTAGGAGAAACAGGGCCGACTTGTCCGTCAGTTTCATTTTCATGGATGGCCTGAAATTGGAATTCCTGCTGAAGGGAAAGGGATGATCGACCTCATTGCAGCTGTCCAAAAACAGCAACAGCAGACAGGAAACCATCCCATTACAGTCCATTGCAGGTACAATGTTTTTACTGTATTCCGCCCAATGCACCTTTCTTATATTTTACTTATTCATGGGATGTAGTTCAGAATTCTCAAGCACAGCTTACAAAATGGAAAAAAAATCATTTAAAAAATGACTAAAATAATAACCAATAAGACATCTTAGAAATAACAAAACCAACCATGATAAAAACATGAAATCTGGACCCGAAAACTTTGTCTCCACCATGTTATGAGGCTAGATGTAAGAGGAGCCTTCTCAGGAAGAGCGTTCCACACCTGGGAACATATGGAAATCACTATTGAGAACACCTTTTCTTCCAGTAGTTTCCCTGTCATACATTCAACAGCAAAGGAAGTTAGAGAAAGGCCCCGGCAGGGTTAATTCAAGTAGTCTTCTTCCAAGATATTCATAGATATAAAGGTCAAAACCACAACTCTGAACTGTCCAGGAATGTATGTAATACATTATATGATATGTAATGCTTGGGTCTGGTGTTGACAGCCTAGATCAGTGGTTCTTAACCTTGGGTTACTCAGGTGTTTTTGGACTGCAACTCCCAGAAGCCTTCACCACCAGCTGTGCTGGCTGGGGTTTCTGGGAGTTGCAGTTCAAAAACACCTGAGTAACCCAAGATTAAGAACCACTGGCCTAGATCCATCTTCTAGGCATTCTCCAGGGATCTGAGGGCTGCACATATCAGTTATTGGACCTTGATAGGGCCATATCTGCTCCCATGAGCACTGTCCCCAGTTTCTTCTTATATAACGTATTTTTCCTTGTATGATACTTTTGCCTAAAATATTTAGATTAAAAATTGAGGGTTGTCTTATACACAGAAGTAAGGGGGAGGGGATTTTTCCTCATGAAAAGTGGAGGGAGAAAGCAGGAATCAAAGCGCTTTGATCCTTGCCTTCCCCCTCCACTTTCTTGTGAAGAAAGAAATTTTGGGTTAGAAAAGTGGGGTGTCTAATACATGGAAAAGTACAGTATATGGCTGAGTGCTACCAAAGTTTTTAGGGTTCTGGAGGACCCTCAAAACATGGCAGAATTGCTCCTGACACATCCTAAAGGACACATAGTTATTTTTGATCTATATCTAAGTAAACTAAAAGGAATTTGGGGTATGTGTGGCAGTACTGTCAGCACCGGCAGTACCCACAGGCTTACCGGGGGGTGGGGGAGTGAAAATCCCACTTATGCAGTCCTTCTCCACCTATTGTCATGGGTTATTAACAGTCATTAATAATGGTCTTTCTGGTGGGTGTTCTGGGGACAGATGAAAGGGCAGCATGATAAACAGGAGACAGACTGTATCTAAGGCCTCCACCCCTGTTGAGTGAGGGAATTTCTATATGCATGTGTATAGCTTCCATGACCCCTCTCTCAAACTACCTATCTTCTTGGTCCAAAATGAGTACATCTTGGTCATCAAACAAGTGTCCTTCATCCTGCGCCATTACCACTCCCATGCTCAGCCATTCACTTGTTTAGTGGTTGTTTGGTTTCTCAAATGTAGCACTCCAAACACTGCTCTTTGCATTGGACTGCATATACTATGTTGCTCCTGTTGTGTTTTGGTGTCTAGTCTTTTGGGTGAACGAGTCTCTGCCTTAGTGTGTTTGTGGATTTGAAGTGCACAGGTGTGTGGTATTTACCAAAAATCCTTTTGAGCTTTTCAGACACACCCACCATGTAAAGAATGGCCAAGTTCTTCTGTTGACTCTAGGTCTCAGACTGTTCCCTTGTCCTGCTGCGTTGAGACACTGCCTTGTTAAAGGCCCATTTTGGATATCCACGGGGACAATGGGTGGAGAAGGACAGCAAAAGTGGGATTGTCACTTCCCCCCCCCCGTCCTTTGTCCATCTAATGAGCCTGTTCAAATCAAGAGGAAGTGAAATCAATGTGGAGGATATATCAGGGGTCTCCTACCAACTCTCCTCAGACTGAAGAAGCTACTTCAATGAGTAGTGAGACCTTTCAACCAACATTCTCTCTAATTTTCATCTCTGTCCCTCATGTGCACAATTTTGCTCCTACATGTGTGCAGTCTCCCCCCCCCGCTCAGGGTTCCATCACAACTGGAACCAAAGGGACTGAAAACTATCACTGTCAGTGTGCGGAGGAGGAGGAAGGCTACCACAGAGGGTGGCAGAGCCATGAGCAGGTGCGCACCTTAGAGGGAACCTTGGTTTCAAACTAATAAGAAAGAAGTCCAGTTGCCATGACTCAGCTTCCAGATACTCACATTTATGTACCACTAGTGTGATGTTGTGGGAGCCAGTGTGGTATAATTGATAAGAGTGGTGGACTAGGTTTTTGGAAACCTGGCTTCAAATCCACACTCAATAATGGAAATGCACTGAGGGGGGTGACACAGGTATCTCACATATCTGGAAAATCCTTTTGGGGTCACCTGGATGCAACTTGATGTACTGGATGCAATTTGACACACATAACAAAAAAGCGGGATGTAGATACTAATTAACATAATGTCACAAAATCACAAATGGAAAATGTGAATAGGACCAATGAATCTATCCTTAAGTGATGCTCATCTTCATGGTAAAAATGAAAATCTCTCTGGATAATGAAACAACATTCTGCTATCTGCACGAATTGTTTAAAGTAAGCAAATGTCCGTAGTTTATTATCTTTCTCTCAGTCCTGAGGAAGGACAAACAACCTATATAAGGGACCGGTTAAATTCAGAATAGCCAAGATTAGAGTTTATTTTTTATTGCAATGCATATGGATATGGCATGATACTTTGTTAAAGCAGAGAAATTTATTTGTCTCATAGTGCTGGAGCTGGAAGAACAGGTACATTTATAGCACTCAGCAATATTCTGGAGCGAGTCAAAGCTGAGGGGCTCTTAGATGTATTTCAAGCTGTGAAGAGTTTACGACTGCAAAGACCACATATGGTGCAAACACTGGTATGTTGTTTTAACCACAAAAATAATTGTCAAAGGAGAAAGGGTATTGACATTTTGAGTGAAGTAAGGAGAGGCTTTGCTACATTACTGTAATATAGTAAGATCTTCTTTAATGTTGGTATGTTGTGCTTTGCTGAATTGTATGTTGTTTATTTTCTTCACTAAATAAATGTGTATATAAATAAACAATGTGCAAAGAGATGAGCCTGGTGGCACAGTGGTTAAACTGCTGTACTGCAGCCAAAACTGTGCTCACGACCTGGGGTTTAATCCCAGATAGCTGCTCAAGGTTGATTCAGCCTTCTATACTTCCGAGGTCGGTAAAATGAGTACCCAGCTTGCTGGGGGGGGGCAATGTGTAGCCTGCATAATTAACTTGTAAACCGCCCAGAGAGTGCTTTAAGTGCAATGGGGCGGTATATAAGCAGCACACTTTACTTTTTTTGCTTTGCTTAAATTCTAAGGCATATGCAATGCAATCCTATATAAAAGTTGTGCACAATCCTGTCTACTCTGAAGTAAGCTTGCAGTTTTAATACAGCACTAACAGAAAAGTCATTTGTCTAAGTTGAAATATTCTAGTTGGGACTAAAATTGAATTTAACTTGTTGAATACAGTCATAAGGTTGTAGAGGAACATAGTTCACATACTTCCATCTTAACTAGATAATGCAAATTATGTAAATCTGCATTTTGTTTATTCTGCATAATACATTCTGTAAAGTCTCACCCTTTGATAATTCGAAATCCTTTCTGGAAGCTGTTTTGACTTCTCAGAGTTTCCTGGGTATTGCAAATGAGAGCTGAAGCCTGACTTCACAATAATAAGTAGTTTTTAAAAGATATATAATAGTCTCTGGAATTTAATTTGTAGCCAAATATCAATCATTATTGGTTACATTCATGTACTGTCTTTTTTTCCCCCTAGTGAGCTCAAAGTAGCATATGTACGTAGCTCTTCCCTTCCTCCTTTTATCTTCTTAACAACAATCCTATGGGGTAGATTAGGCTGACTGGCCCAAGGTTATTCATTAGTTCTGCTGACCTCTCAGTGGCTCTTAAATTGTCAAACATATATTTCACACCACACTCTTTTTAGTCAAAAACAAAACAAAAAATAAAAGACGACAAAAACAGTGTGGCACTTAAAGACTAACTGCTATATTTCAGTTTGAGGTTCAGGTGTCTGAAGAAGTGAAATTGTGCATGAAAGCTTTTTTATAAAAAAACATTTCAGGTATTTATGAAGCTGCATTTCTTGTGAAACTATTCTTGTCATTATGTTAATTTCTGATAAAGTGACTTGCAACAAACAACAAAGAATGTTTTGCAAAATTATTAAAGATAGTAAATGTTACCAGTGTGCTATTTTCTAATGATGTTATAGCTCAAGATACTTCAAGGGAATTATTAAAGTTCATAGATAAGTACATCAAACAAACGTAATCTCTTTCTCTTCTCTCTTTCAGGAACAGTATGAATTCTGCTACAAAGTGGTACAAGATTTCATAGATATATTTTCTGATTATGCTAATTTCAAGTGAAAATCCCTGGCTTTTTTTATTTAATCATCTGTACAGAGATTTGTAAATCATGTTAATTTATTTCCATGGATTTTTTTTTAAAAAAAAACGCTAAATGTAGATATGACCATGTTTTCTCTGAATGTCTCCTTTGATGTATATTTTATTCAAGTAAGGTTTCATTGATCCGGAAGGAGCAGCACAGAGACTTTTCAAACAAAGAGCCTTCCAGTCAGCTGTTGGACAGAGAAGGAGAACGATTCCAGCCACTGTCCTCTAAGCAGCTGAGCAATAAGACCTATTTTGAAATGCCTCAGTATGTGCAGCTCAGGTGTTAAATAAAAGAGGAGAGCTATGCATTCAACACCCATTGCACGCGGCACTCTCCTCCCATCTGGCAATGTATATGCAATACCTGCATGTACTAACCAGGTCAAGGTGTTTTTTCATGTTTTGCATATCAAAGGGCCATGTAAAATATATCACTATGTGCAATATATCACAGTGTATACTGTTATGAAAATAGGGCACAATCCAGCCTATGTTAGGCATATTTAAAACCCTCTGCTTTCAGTGGGTGTATTAAGCATATGCTTAAATCTCTCCCATTTAAATTAACAGGACTTGGAGTCCAGTTACTATTCTAGCACACCTGGGACTGTAACACTGCTTAAGATAAGCTGGTGTTGATATGTTAGTCCTTTGAATCTGAGATCTCTCAGAGCCCATGGGAAAAGAGGGAGTAAATATTTTTAAAACAAATTAATAGGACTTTGAAAAGTGTTTGAGTTTGGCTGGATGTACCAATATTTTGCCTAAACACTTTTGAATCTGTAACATTATTTCTCATGTTTAGATTTCAAACAGGTTATAGCCCCAATGTTTAAAAAGCAAACGAATAACAGTAAACATGTCAGAACTAAATTTATATTATCATCACCATGATAATGATTTTCGCTTTGAGCAAGTCCCACAGAACACTAGAAAATTCTGTACCATTGAATGAATATAATAAGCTAACCAAGACTGTAGATGTACTCTTGTGCAAGCTGAATTCATCTCAATTGTATTTGCATACATTGTGGGTCTTGTTGTGGTGCTTTGATACACCTGTATTCACAAGCACATTGATACCCACTGATATTAATGTGGACTGTTGACTGGGAAAGACAGTTTTGAAGGTATGCTAGAACGTCAGTTCTTACTCTGCAAGTTTTTCTTCATCTTAACTTTCTAGGCTAGATCCATTTACCATTTTTGGTAAAAATTTGTGTCCTCACAGTTAAGCACAACTCTTTCAGTCGCTGGTAGAAGAACAAGAATCCACTATAGCAACAACAAGAGATTTAAGCTTTAGCTTTTTTTAAAAAAGTATATTTTTACTGACCAGATTCTAGATAATTCTGTTTAATGGGAAATTGTCAGTTAGCACTATAATGTAAATATGGATTTAGTTATTCACTTTTAAAAGATCATCAAAGTTTATTGTTTTAGTCTACTTTTTTTAAAAGAAAGATTAACATAAAGTAACATATTTAACTTATAAATGAATTTATCAATATTTGAGAATATTTTGTACATGAATGTGTAAGAATTTTTATTCCTGTTGCCACAAGTAGATATAAAACCAGATATAAAAGAAACATGATAAAGCGCATATCCAACTGAACATAGTTGTGATTTAAATGATGTTGCAGATAGTGGGACCTAGTAGTGACAAACACGTTCTATAGATGCCTGTGGGGCATTCTTATGACTAAACTGAGTATCCAGATGGGAAACCTTTGAGTTGCTACAGAGTTTGGCCTAGAGTTCCTGCAGTCCTTTACCATTGGCTATGCTGGGTAGGTTTAATAGGCGTTGTAGGCCAAAGCATTTGGAGAGCTAAAGATTCTCTGCCCCTACCACAGAAAAATCAGCCACTGTGTAGGAATATGGTCCACTGGAATCAGAGACTTACTTCGGATCAATATATTTGCGATAATACTGTGAGCATACACTCAGGTACAGAGATGAATATACGTTAGTTCCCTTACTATAAGTGGTACATAAGGCAAAATAAAAGTGCACTGGATTTTGAATCTGTGAATGATTCAATAGCTGTTTAGCATTAAGGTGTGTGCATATTTTCCACCGGCAGAGACTGACCCATGTATTCTGCTGTTGCTTAGAAGCACATGTAGCTGCCCATTACCAAACAGAAATGGGGAAAAAAGGCTTTGCTTGTTAGGAGCTCAACATGTAGGAGCATGAGGAAACTTTGGGTTGGGCTGTAAATGTGCAATTAGTCATGTACTGCTAAAGCACAAATCTATTCCTTTTGATGGGACTACTAGAGTGGGTTGTATCCTAGGGTAGTTTTAAAAAATGAATGCAGTAGCATCTACATAGACTCTGCAATTCGTACAACTTTCAAAATATAGTAATATAAAATTTCCTTGGTACCAACAAAGGTCGGAAATCACGCAGGCATGGTTCAGTTCCAGTGGAAGTGGCAGATGAACATTTTCTGTCAATTCCTTCCTCATGCTATGACCTCTCTATGTTCTCCCCAAAACAGAGGAAAACAGAGTTGGGCATTCAAGAAATTCAGAACAGATTTAACATGCCTGGCTAGTGATAAAAGACTACATTTCGTAACTGTTTTCCCCAACGTTTTAGAAGGTATTTTTAAAGGAGCACAAAAATAATAAAGTTATATAACCAACTAATATGCAATAGTTTGACTTGTCCATTTGGTTGCTTTATATATACCGGTAATTATAAAAGCCTTATTGAAAACTATGTAAACTAGTCATATCACTTTAGCTCTTTCAATGTTTCATTCCATATTCATGTTAATATAGTGTCTAGAAGAAAGGAAAGGTGAATATCTTTAACAATGCAGACAGTAACAAGTATTTCCCATCAATTCTGCCTACTTCTAATTGGAAACAGTTCAAGTTAGAAGTCTATGAGCACACTATTTTTAAAGCACTGCCATTTATTGCTTGTGTCTTCCCAGTAATGCACTTCTTAAAATCTATATATAATATGTACCTAACAAATAGAACTTATTGTGAAAAATAATTGGTGTTAAACTTTCTAACCCCAAAAGTAAAAACACTCTGGTAAGAGTTGAATGTTAAAATAGGTTTTCTGTTCTAGCGTCTTCTGAAAAATCTAAACCAACTAAGAAGAATGAACTCCGGGACTTTTCACTTTCTTTTTAAGGACCAGTTTCCACACACTGCTTTAAAACGTGCTTCTACGGCCATATAAATATCAAATACACTGTAACTTTGAGTATGTGAAAACTGATGTTTAAAAAGAAGAAAAAATACTCATAGCTAAACAATATCCATATTATTCTTGATATACATGTATCTTGTAGTCTTATAACACAGATGTATGCTGGTCTTGCAGAAGGCTCAGCAGGCAAAGAATTTTTTGATGACCAGAAATTTGGAGTGGTCTTCAGTTGGATATGGAGACTTCTGGACCATAGGCCTAATCAGGCTCATCATAGTCTCCCATTCAGCCCACAGAGTTTCTCCAGTTGTCCACCCCCTCCCTAAAATCCTCCCCCCACAGAACAAAGATGGTGCAGGAGGGAAATGGAAATGAAACCAGAGATCTCCATGGCTGGGGAGCTGGTTTCTTTTCTCATGCAGGGAAGGTGAGGTAGAGTGAAGGGTATTCAACGGACACTTCAGAAGCCTGCTGAATCTCAGCCTTGAGAATGAGTGCACCCAGCTTTGCTACTCTTTTCCTTTATCTTGGTGAAGATACTGGAGTTTCCAGAAGTGGGATGGGGAACCTGCATTAGTGGAGATCAGTTATTAGATATAACACTCCCTTGAAATCCAGAACTTGTGTAATATTTAACAACATAGGATCAAGCCCAAAAATGCACTTGGAAAGATACATTAATGTAAAAGAAATTTTAAAGTCTTTATTTTTATCCTTGCCCATACAGTTGTGAAGCCAGAATATTTGGAGTTAGACTGATTTTTGTCATGCATGAGAAAATGTGATACTGAATAAGTAGATCTATTCCCAGTACGGAATGATTTTTAAAGCTTCTGTTTCAGAGAATTCTGCAAGACTGTATTCTCTGTAATCCAAAGTACACAACAACTTTTGTCTGTAGATCTCCTTAGGCAATCTAGTTCTATACTGTGTTCTCCTAGTTTGGTGATTTGACACATGTGGAAATTTTTTTAAATCCAGCCATATTTTTATTTAAATCTGTAACAAACTGGTTTATCAGGTTTGTGGATTGCAGCCTTAGAAAGCTTGCTTTCACTCCAGAGTGATTAAGCCAAGTAAGGCTGCTGTACCTCATACCTTGTCATAAAAATATATTTAAGGATTTTCACTTCTTTACTTTGCATTGCATGAGACTGCATTAATAAATGCCAAATAGTGATCAGAAATGATATGTTCTGATCTGCATAACTAGTCACTGCGTGACTCAATTTATTGTCTTGTGTGACAGTGGACCCTGATTGCCAAAGCTCTTAAGTACTTGCTTAACTTGGAACCTGTGTTCAACCAAGAATATAAAAGTGGACTCTTTCAAACTGTTTCTCAGAAACCCTGGGCTCCTCAGCAATTTATCAGGGATTGAACAATAATAAGTCTGATAGTTATGAATAAGCTAATCAAAAGATATGTTATGTGGTGTTTCCATTTTAATTCCATGGTGGCTGAAATCCTGTTCCACAGCTACACAAATGATGTAACTTTTAGATGTGAACTGTCATAAGTTAAGAAGCAGTCATAGGCATTGTGTGTTACACTCCAAGCCACATGAGTACTAGCCATGTGCCATGCAGGCAGAGGATCAGAGTCATCAGTATGAGACAGAGAGGGGAAAATAGTTATAAACCTATTTCATTTTTTAGACTCATAAGCCCTATTCAAGTGTTACTCCAGTGCCTAAAGAGGGTTTGAAGGTCATAACCACACTGTCCCCAAAGAGCTGTTACAGTGGTGCCTCGCTTTACGATTGCCCCGTTTAACGATGAAACCGCATTACAATGCAATCGCTTTTGCGATCGCAAAATGATGTTTCATATGGGGGAATTTCGCTTTGCGATGATCGGTTCCCTGCTTTGGGAACCGGTTCTTCGCAAAACGACGATTTTCCAACAGCTGATCGGCGGTTTCAAATGGCCTCCAGGTAAACAAAATGGCTCCCCGCTGTTTTCTGGGACATATTAAATGGCCACCCTATGGAGGATCTTCGCTGGACTGTGAGTTTACAGCCCTTTGGAACACATTAAATGGTTTTAATGCGTTTCAATTGGTTTTTTCTTTTCGCATTACGTTTTCGTTCTACAGCAATTTCGCTGGAATGAATTAACGTCATAATGCGAGGCACCACTGTATATCTATTCCTAACGATTAAAAAGTAGAGTCTAAATCTGTTCAGCATGTTGTCTGTGCTTGCCATGTTCTCTGCAGCCTCATCTGTTCCATATGTTAACTTCACACATGTGGTACTAAGATCATTCTAAACTATGATTGTGAGTGCCCTCAGCTGAAAATATTTAGAATATCCTTCAGATTTTTGCATGGTATGTACGTATGTGAAGGTCATGGGTGGAGCTGCAGGTATTATTTATTTATTTATTTAACAATATTTTTTTAGCTGCACCGTTACTAATGGTCTCTGAGTGGCATACAATACTAAAACTTTAGAAAATCATTAAAACCATTAAAAATACCCAATATTATAATAATACCCTATATTAAAACAGTGAATTTATTATTAATAAATCCTGCTACTCATACGGCCAGCTAAAGGATACTATTTAATTAAAATTCAGGCTAAACGTAAAGGTCTTTGCCTGGTGCTGAAAAGCCAAAAGCCAGCCGGATCTCTATTGGGTGTTCCAAAGGTGGTGGGAAACAGCCAAGAAGGCCCTATTTCAATATGCCATCCCCCTCACCTTTTTCAGGGACGGCTCCTGCAGAAGGGCCTCCTGGTCTGACCTTAGAGTACGGGCAGGTTTGTATGGGAGAAGGCGGTCCTTTAGGTAATCAGGTCCTAAGCTGTTTAGGGCTTTATATGTCAAAGTAAGTGCTTTGAATTGGGCCCAAGCAGCAGCCAACAGCCAGTTAAATTTTTCAGAATTGGCATGGTATGAGTCTTCGTGGCAGCACCACTTACCAGCCACGCAGCCTAGTTCTGTGCCAGTTGCAGTTGCCGGACCATCTTCAAAGGCTGCCCCACGTATAGTGCATTGCAGTAGTCTGGTTGTTACCAATGCATGTGTGGCTGTTGCCAGGCTCCTCTCATCCAGGTAAGGGCGAAGTTGATATATTCGCCATAGCTGTAAGAAGGCACCCCTGGACACCAAGTCCACCTGGGCTTCCAAGGTCATATCTGGGTCAAGGAGCACCTCCAAGCTGCGGACCCTGTCCTTTAGGGGAGTGTAACCCCGTCTAAGGCAAAGAAATGGCCCTTTAACCTATCTAGTGGAGCATCTACCAGCAGCACTTGCAACTTGTCTGGATTGAGTCTCTGTTTATTGCCCCACATCCAGTCCATTATCGAGTCCAGGCACAACTTCAGAACGGTGACTGCCACATCTGGATTGATAGAGAATGAGGGGTAGAGCTGGGTGTCGTCAGCATATTGGTGACTCCTTAGCCCAAACCTCCGAATGACCTCCTCCAGCAGTTTCATGTAGATATTGAATAGCATAATGGTATGATAGCTCTGTGCTGCCCAAAACATTATATCCACTCAAAAATCCTGCAGACACATGTCTGGTTCTGTAGCACACTCTTACTTTTGTGTAGGGACTGGCTAGGCTTAATAGGTTAGCTAAACACTCCAGAATATAGTCTAGGATGCTTTTCAGTGATTACAGTTGAATCTTCTGCAATCCACCATCTTGGGTAGAGTTTCTTAATGCTACCAAGTTTGAAATCTTTTACTAAGTATATACTTAATGGCTTGGCTTAATCAGACCCAAAGACAGAATGCCTAGTATATTGATTATTGTTTTTGAAAGGACATTTATGAATCAGATTTCAAAAGAGCCTTTGTTTTCAACATGTTGAAATGTTTTCAATAGGCACTACCATTTTTAATATATTGCTACTAAACCTTTTTTTGTAGATACAAAATCATATTTAATTTATAAAAAATCTTTATAATATATGTATGTACTACTCAGTGATATTTTCTTTTATTATGTTTATAATTTGATCATGCTGTATTTATAATGCCAGTGAATGTTGCTGAATTATTTGTATATGCAAATTACAAATCTAATCATTCTGATGCAAGAACAAGGTTTCATTTTTATTTCTTTCCTTAAGTCTCTTAATTTCATTCCTCTACTGTTTGCTCATTTAAACTAAACACTGCAATTTTGCTAAGGATGTAAAATCCCTTACTTTAATTTCTTTCCAAAAGTTTTAAAACTTTGGTAATTTCTTATCAAGTGCTGTTCTGACAAAGTTTCAAGTGACAGTTTACAGCATTACACATGTTATGCTTAATTTGTAATGGCAACAGAATATCTCATGCAGAACATGCTTACTTTAAAAAACACTGAATAAAAGTTATCATTATTCTTAGCAATCCTAAAGTATTATACCAGTGTAAATGTAATTTTCCTGTGCTACATTTTATGTTCTGATATGAGCAAACACCACACATCCACCACAAATGCTGGTTCAGAGTAATGGCAAATGTTGGAGGTCTTACTATAGACATAACATAATTAATTATGGGAGCTGGGCTGGACTTCAGTGACAGTTTGAGAAGAGATTTATGTTCTCCTTACCATGTGGTTTTTACTTGCAAACATGACAGAGCATTC